ATGTTCGTTATTAATCAACAATGAATAACATTTTAAGCAAGCAGTGGCGAGTGCATGCCCAGCGAGGAGTGTGGAGAAGTAAGGCGTGCCCCACAAGAGGGAGGTTTAGGACAATAACAAGCAAATATAACAGGATGACAAAGAAATGTTCAGATCATTTAAGGTACCGGATTTCTCATCATCATTTCTCATCATCATTCTCTTCATAAGCTTTATGAGCTATAAGCCATAATCATGAAAACTGAAAGAAAGAAACGGGTTGGAATAGTTTAGCTGGTGTGTAATGAGTCGAGGATTTGTTGCATTTTTCTTTCTGGTGGAAAATATTTTAATTTATTGAGATGCACCAGCATGTGTCACATACATGCATCTGTATATGTACAGATGTGCATGTTGTTATGACAGCTCCACCACACACACACACACACACACACACACACACACACGCTTACACAGAGCCTTTCAAACACAATTTACAATTTACCCAACCACACACATCCACCACCACATAGCAACCTGTAAACCACCTCCTACACCTCCACTGTGACCACAGCATCGATATCTGCTGCTGTGTTTGAATGTCTGTTTGCTGTTTGTTATGTTTTTGTTCAGCTTTTGTCTAAAACTGAAAGAAAGAAGAAGAAAAAAAGGTTTTAATTTAGCAATAAATCAAATGAAATAAAACTTGTTTTTGGTGGATTTACATGAGCTTTTCTCTAAAATGTTCTGTACAGTTTCTCTACTGTGCTCAGACTTTACTGCACATCTGCAACATCCCTGGTTCGTTTCTCGTCGGGCATCTTGACGGACATCATATCACTTTCTCTCCTCGTGTTGCCTGTCTGCCTCGTCACTATTGAATTTCAATTACAGTAAAGAATGCAAGAAAATTAATCTATATTTTAAAAAATATATATAATAATAATACCTGGGCTTGTTTCATTAAACATTTAAACCGAAAACATCTGATTCAAGCTTCATTTTCTATCAAATCAACAAATATTATTGCGTTTCTTTATGTCAGTTCTAATGTTTAGTTTGAAAACAGCTCAAGTTTTTCATACAAGCTGAAGTCTGCTTTTCACTTTTTGCATTTTTTAGGAGAGAATCTAAAACTAACTAAATAAATGAAACAGAGGTACTTTCGCAGGATAAACTGATGGATGTTGACTGTTTGCTCGCACCAAGACGAGATTATCTCAGTTCAGTGCTTTCTATACTCCTGTGTGTGACTGCCGAGATCTTATGTCTTGTAAATAATCCATGAATTCATCTGATTCAGACGCTGCCGCTTGACATCAGATGACTTATTGTGATTGGGCACGGTTCCAGGGACTCACTGCTCATTGCTGGAGAGAGCCGTCAAGATGCTCTGATCAAATATTCTAAAAGAGAGAGAGGAGAGGGAGGAGAGCCAGTTCTTCATAATGAGCTCTTTTTAAAACCACAAACAAGCGCTTATCTCCTTCACAAAACTTGCCGTCACCGTGCTTATGAAGCCGCTTTCACTGATCGTATCATGGGAGTCGCAGGATTTTTTTTGCACAAGACAGCAACATAGTGCGGTTTTGAATGAAAATGCAGATTTAAAAAAAAGATCTAGTGGCTGATTGATGACAATAAAACCATCACACACACATATATGTATATAAATCTTTACTGTATGTTTGTCTTTTGGATAAAATAATCCCGGACAAGACGCTGCATCTGCTCACTGGCGCCCCTGTGACCCGACCTGCCTGCTGCATATGCATGGCTCCAGGGACTAATAAAAAAAAAAACAGCATCTAATTAGAAATTGCAGCGTAATTAAGATGTAGTTATTGTGTCATTATCACTGCTTTGTTTTAGCGATATTAGTTGGGATTCTGTTTAATAAACGGGGGCAGGCGGTGGTTCAGATTATATCAGTAATCCAATGAGGATAGGAGATAATGCATAACCCCATTCATACGTGCTGGACCTCAGTGTGAGCCGGTCTCCTGAGGCGCACCCTCCAGATCCCCTCTTCACATCCAAATGATCTTTGGTCTGGGGTCTAAGGTTAAGAAATAAGCCTGTGTGGGTGTGTTTTTTTTTGTATGTACTGGATCTAAGCATGAGGGGACGTGTACAGTTGTGTATGCAAGTAGAAGTGTGCTGCATAAACTCAATCAAAGTGGGTGTTTGGGGTCAACTCACTGTGAAATGCCCTCTCACGTTCTGCTCTTTACTCTAATTACGCTGCGACAACAGACTTGGACTATCATATAAGAAATAAGGCAGACTATTAAACGTTTCTTTTCACTGTGTAGCTCAGAACTTCTTGGATTTTAAAGTGTTTCTAAACCTTCAAACGTTGTGACAGTTTCCAGCTTTACATGAAAATATGGCAGGTTTTCAGCACAGTTTCACCATGTGGGACATCACTGTATGTAGGTCAGATAGTAAGAAATTACAGTGGAGTTGTACTACTCAGAGAATTACCCACAGATGTATGAATAAAAGGCAAGTTGATATGGACAAAAAAAGAAAAATACCCTCTTTATCTGATTACCTGGATGATACTGTTTGCTCACCGTGTTTCATTCACCAGTTGAAGAAAAGAGACACTGAGATACGTTTCTCTTTACAGTTAGTGTTACTAATGATCTCATATGCTCTGACTAATACAAGTACAAGTTGTGTTTTGGTTCTTAAGGTGACCACCATTTAAAACAGGACTTGAGAACAGCTGCAGCAGAGTATATGAGGGCAAAAAGTTCACCCACCATAGTTTTTATTTTCATATTTTGTTAATTAAAGTCATGACTTGATAGTCCGACCCTTAACAATCTGAAAACCGTGCTGTCCGACAGGTTTTTAGGAAAAATGAACGGAACCCATTAAAAACAGCCTTAACATACCGACAGCCTTGGATTCTGACTCCAACATGACATTTTATGTCACAAATAAGCATAACGGCGTATTATCTGACTGAACAATCCACAGATTGGCTACGTTCAGACTGCAGGACTTAATGCTCAATTCGGATTTTTTGTGAAATCTGATTATTTCGTGAGTTCGTTCACATTTCCAGTTAAATGCGACTTGTATGTGATCTGCTGTGTGAACTTCATACGACCCAAAAGTGTCCCGCATGCGCAGAAGAGGACACGACGACGTCACACACAGCGAGCGTGCTCAGTGTTTATGGACGTAAACGTAGATGGTGGCAGCGGTGATGATGGAAACAGAAGTGTGACCGCTATCCTAAACTACCATCAGCAGCCAAGTACTGCCTGTTCCGGCCACTTCCACCCTGTCAGAGCACTCCCCCAGGGTGGAAGTGTCCCCCTGACTCCCCTGAATATTCAGATATTCATCATTAATTGGGCCTGAATATCCAAAGACCAGAAAGTGCTATTCAGACCAGCCCTACTAGTTATTACAACAACTATAAACAATAAATATTAACAACAAATGAGCCTTCAAGCATCAAGCCCTCCTTGTATCTCGACCTCCGTCTTGACAATCCGACATAAAAGAAGGTTTTACATTTAGTGTCGGATTATCGAATCACGACTGTACTTTATTATTTAGAGGAGCAACATTCACACACGGTCATGTCGCTGCTCTAAATATCCTGCGGGGAAAAATCACCCTGAAAGAAAAAACTCGATATGATGAAGAAACAACTTGGCTTCAGGACTTTTACAGTGAAATCCCATTTAGCCGTGTTAAAGCTCAACACGTGTTACCTTAAATAAATGAACTTGCTTATGACGTGTCATGTTGTGTTGACTTGTGCCTGAATGCTGGAAACCTCCACAGCTTTGAAGATGCTCATATGGATGTATGTAATAAACTCAGCAGACGGACTCCTACAAACTAAACTCCAGCCCTGTTACGTACTTTTAAGGTCTTTGTGTCATTAAGTCAACTAAATGCTTGCCCAGGTATGCAGAAGGTGGCGACCATACGTCTCCGCCAGCAGCTGCATTTTTAGATGAAACTGGTAAAAGTTTTTTTTTGTTGGAGTAAAGTGTAGAATATTATAGCTGGAGCTTGTTATTGAATTATTCACAAGTCGTAAAAAAAAAGTGCCGGTATCCCTTCAGAAGTTGTAAATAAATAAACGCACAACATTTTTTGTTGCATTATCATCGTCTGACATTCGTGTTATAAACTACAAGCAAGAAATCCAAACTTATAAACATCATCTCGTACTTTCTCTGTTCACAACTTGGGGGGAGACGGCATCTTACGAGGAGCGGCACTTTCCGCTACGTGGATCATCTGCATATCAAATCAGCAGCCTTAAACTGGCCCATTACACTATGTGTATACAGCACAATGCACCTCAGTGTGCCGCGCATCTCATGAGGACTTTATCACAATTCCACACTTCATTATAGCCAAAGCATCTTAACATCTGGTATTCCCCATTAACCTCACCTAATGTAGTGAATGCGGAACACACTCCCCTCCCACTCCTTGAGCAAGGCATTTAGCCTGTAATTGCTCCAGTAGAGCACTACATGAGGAAATGAGATTCAACAGAAAAAATGTCTGACTCTCTGGTTTGTTCACTTATGCCCTCGTGTGCTGGTGTTCTTGAATAACACATCCCGAACATCAGTCAGAGTGTGTTGTGCAGCAAGAAAAACCCTCTCACACAGGAGGAGCTGACAATATCAAGAAGTCTCATTTGAATATTTGCAAGCTGATGTAGGCCAAACCTTTGCACAGTTTCTCTTTCTATCCTTACAGGGGTGTCCAATCCTGGTCCTCGAGGGCCGCAATCCTGCATGTTTCAGATGTTTCCCTCTTCCAACACACCTGATTCAAATGATCAGCTCATCATCAAGCTCTGCAGAAGCCTGATAACGATCCTGATCATCTGACTGAGATGTGTTGGAAGAGGGAAACATCTAAAACATGCAGGATTGCGGCCCTCGAGAACCGGAGTTCGACACCCCTTACGGGAGGCAACAGATTCACTTATATCACAGCGACGTCCCTCTGTCTGTCTGCGTTACCTTGGACCAGGATGTGCACCGAGGTGGTTCGTGGTCGACTGCTCGTCTGCACCGCGCACACGTACTGCCCCTCGTCCGTCATGTCCACGTCTTCGATCTTGATGGTGAACTCCTCCTGGTTGAGGGTCACCAGACTCACTCTGGGATCCACCGACCACTTGTCTTCTCCGGCGTACAGTATACTCGACCGGTTTAGCCATGCTGTGTGTGTGACGACGTCGCCCTGTGCACACCTGTAAAAAAAACAGCATTTTACGAGCGTTATTTTAAGACTGGGTGAAGTCCAGATGAGTAAAATGTACACAATCGAGCCAAGAAACGTGTAGTTTGTGGAGCACGGCGATTACCCCCCTCCCCTACAGTACATAAGGACTCTTTATTATTCAGTGTAATTTTTTTTGTTTTTCTGCTTGGCTCGGGTGAACAATCATCCCACTGATTAGCAAAGCTTTAACCAGAGAGGAGGAACTAATCAGTGAAACCAGCTGGTGCAGCGTTTGGTTGAGCTGAGAACACGCCGGCTCTTGAACCTCCTTTCACCGCTGCTGATGCTTCTAAATCATTAGACGTAGAGAGCCCAGGTCAGATTATGCTTATCCTCAGTGTCATGATAGACGGATAGCAGTTTCAGGTCTTGTCCACACGTAGTAGGGTATCTCACAAAGTTTTTCTACCATGTGGCCTGTCATCCACACGAAAACACAGATTAAAAACGATTCTTTTCAACCAAAGTGAAGATCTGTGAATCCTCCGTTTATGCGTCTGCACGTGGACGTCAATAATTGGAGTTTAGGTTTCGAAACGTCACTAAAATATGTTCCTTACATCACATACGCGACCTGTGTTTACATTTGGAAGCAGCATGGACGCCCTCAGAACCGTGTTGTCTCTGGTCCAGGCACAGATACCGCTCCACGTACAAGAACACAAGTGAAGGATGGCGGTTATTTTCCACCAACTTGCCATTCCACGTCCGAGGCATGTTCTCCAGCAAAGACACCGACACCGGTTTTGGGTCACTGCCAGCTGGTGGGAGAACTTTAAGACGGAAATCGTGCTCCTGGAGGAATGGCGTGACAATTTCCATATGTCCCGGTTGTCGGAGTTCTTACATCCTCACGTAGAATATGAATGGGCTTAACAACACACTAATGTGGTTCGGTGTGGATCAATTCTTTTCTAAAAACGAGGTGGTGTGTACGTTAGTTTTTTCTAGACGGATGGGGCAGGATATTCGGTTTGACAAAAACCCTTCTACGTGTGGACAAGACCTACATCTATAGAAACATTCTGACACACAGCAGCACATGTATTCTGAAACGGAACAACATTTCAGTTATCGGTGATCGTGTTAAGACCTTTCTTGGAATATAGACAATTTTTAATAAGCTTGGTAACTTGACACATTGTACATATGCAAATACAGCTCTCAAGCATTCATCAGATTCCTTTTGTTAATCTGCCCACACACTTGGTTTGTGACATTCAAAACTGATTCAGACAATGAGCTGAAACTGCACTGCTGTGCTCCATCGCAATTACAACAGATTGGTTTCACCAGTCACAAATTGCTGCTTTGATACAAGAGCTGGGCCACTGATCTTTGGCTGTTCCCACGGAGCAACACATCTGCTGTATTTTCATGACAAATCCTTGGATCCTGTTGAGAAAGCATCAGACCCAGAACCACAGGAATTAAGTATAACTGTACCAGAGGAAGATGAAATAACACAAACTCTGCCTTTGGCTGCCAATTGTTTGTCAGCTCTGTTTACTTAACTATCACGAGCCTCCTTTTCTGATGCACAGCGTAGCAGGAGATTGAAACATTTGAACAGTTTTTGAACAGGAGCTCAGCACTTTGCAACCGAATGACTCTCAGCTCCATTTACGCTGTCACAGCTTTTGTTAAACCATCAGTCACTTCCACTTCAGTGATGGCAGTAGGGTCAATGGCATCCTTGGGGCATTTGTGGTGCTATGGTAGGGAGGGAAGACAAAAAAAAAGGTGTGTGTCTGTGTGTGATTGTGTGTAATCAATACACAGGAGCAAAAGCTTTCAAAAATAATGGATCAGGGTGTACGTGAGAGGGTAAGGTTATCAATTTACTATGATAAAGTGGATTCAAAGTAGGGTTTTCATTTGTAATGGCTACAGCAAATTAATTTCACTGAGCTGTGAATGTATTTCACAGTGCAGACACACCGCCAAATGTTAACCTTTATAAATAACACCAACAGTGGCAGGGTTTGAACTATGCCTTCCCTGGAACTTCCTTTTAAAAGGGTATGGTATGCCTGGAAACAAGAACTGATATGTAGAGAACTTAAGGTCAGCCGCAGACTTACAACAACACATGCTCGCATGTGTTTTCTCACTCGAGTGTAAAAACTGGAGACGGAAACTTTTCTTGGAGGAACTCCAACACACAACCTGAGCAACACATCTACTCCGTCAGCCTCACTGTCCTTGATAGGCCGTCACCTTAAGGCATGTTCTTATCGATGCACAAAGGGAAAGTATTTTTGATTCTGGATGAAGCAGCGTGTCTGTTCCCCACACGACGGTGAAACACAGAAAACACTTCACAATCAAAAAACTCAAAATTTCACAAAAAAACAGAACAAAATAATATTGACGGGTACAAATCCAGTGAAAAGCAGAATTCAAATGTGTTTTGTTTCTGCAAATTTGCAAAGAGGTTGTAAATGTCAAACATGCTGAATTACATTAATGTATGTCCTGGTTAACTGCATGGAGCTGCTCTGGACAAGGACTGACCTTCAGGTTAAAATAATAATAACACAATAAGAAAAGAAGAAGAAAAAAAGAAAGGCTCAGGTTTAAGGAGTTGCAGGCCTTTGTGATGCATTGTGGGGAAGATCAGACTCTGTCACTGCTAAAAGGTGATAATTCTGCTTCTGGGATCAAAACTCTAACCTCCACAGGTAAAGTGAGCCAAGTAACAGACGAATGGATCAACGTGACGGTTGAAAATAACGGCCTTGAGTTACAGGTAGCAGGTGTGAAAGGCACCAAGTAAACCCCAAAACCAGTCAGTGTGCTTGAAAGACATGTGTATGTATGTATGTATGTATGTATGTATGTATGTATGGTCACCAGTCTATCACAGGGCTACACTTAGAGACAGACAACCAAGCACACTCACATTCACACCTACAGACAATTTAGAATCACCAATTAATCTCAACATGTTTTTGGACTGTGTGAGAAAGCTGGAGAACCTGGAGAGAACCCACGCTGCACGGGGAGAACATGCAAACTCAGAAAGATCCTGGGTGTCCTCACCAGGACGCGAACCAGTGACCTTCTAGCTGCGAGGCAACGGTGCTAACCACTGCTCCATCATGCAGCTCTACTAACTAACTAATTAAATGAATGAATGAATGAATGAATGACCATTTATCAGGCAGAAACTGTAAAAAGAAAGAGCTTCTCATAGAGATAGTCGTGAGTGTTGTGCCGTTTCAATAAACCGGATTTGGTGACTAATAACATATCCTGTGTTTCACAGCACATCTAAAAAGCTGTAAGTCTCTGCAACTAACAGTCCTCTGACAAAAATTCTGAGACTTTTCAGCTGAACTGCAGGCTGTGTTTAAACAGAGTCAATGGGAGACAAGTATGTAAAACAAATGAAAAACATAAGTTTTCCAGTGTTGGTAACACCTGTGGCCATGAAACAAATATGGAACATGATGATTCCAGGTATTTATTCATTCATTTTCCTGGGCTATGTTTGTTTGCATGTTCTGAAAATATAAAAAAACTGCTCAGAAAGAAAAGATTGTAAATGTTCTGTTGAGACCTGTGCCTTTCTAGTTCAGTCATAGGAACTTATAGCAATTCTTTAGCCACCTCAGCTGGAATTTCGATTACCCACATGACACTAATATATATATTAACCTATTAACATATCACAGATGAGTGAAACAGTTTGTCTTTTGACTACTTTTTTTTTATTTCCAACCTAGATTTTTTAAATAAATTTTGTTTTAAAGGAAGGACATAAGTGATACTAAGCATATTTGTTTATTAAAATAATAATAATTGAACTAAAAAAATAAATACAAATGAAAAAATCTTGAGTCTAAGGTGCATTTCCTGAAGCCATCATGCATCATTATCAAACCCTGCGATAGGTAGACTTCTGACACAAGCTGTAGTGCAACATGGCGTGTAACGTTAAACCCCCTGATCATATGAATTTTAAAGAAACTCCATTATCTTCCCGTGCGCTCACCAGCCTCGAAGGTCGAGGCTGTGGTCAGCGCCTCCTACGGAAACGCAGCCTTCAGTGGTTTTTTTGTTTAATTTGAGAGGGTCAGTGACACAGTAAAGAGTTTCCTGGCACCGTGTTTACACTGTCTTCCAATTTCCAATTCATGAGAAACGGCGTGGTCCCGTTGTGCGAGTGGGAGTGCTGCCGCTTTGATTGCGATGAAAGAGCGCCACAGAAAGTCGTAAGATAGAAGAATGCGGTGCTGGTCTTTCGACAGTCATTAAATAAGGAGCTGAGAGGAGGAATGATCCAGTGGCTGTTCAGAAAAGTCTCATTGAACCATCTGCCATTTTACCTGGTGCCACATCCTCGACACAAGGAATTTTATATTACAAGTCAGAAATGCTCGGCAGCTAATTGGAACGATCCCCCCCTTTTAATGTGTATTTTTAGAACTTGGTTGAAAAGGAAATCTGGTTTGACTTAGGTTGGTATTGTTATATAAACTATATGCCTCACCAGCTAAATCCCCCAAGAGAGGAACAAGAAGAAAAAAACGAAGGGATAAATATTTTACATTCCATATGTGCTCCTCTTATCGCTTCCGCACAGATGGCAAACAAAATTTAATCCCAATAAATTGTCAATCCTCTCAAAAGCATGAGAGGTTGAAGGGAAAGGGGAGATGTGTGCTTAGGAGGTGAAACTGTAACTATCTCCGCTCTCTCCCTCCTCTCCTCCCTCCACCTCCAGTGTGGTTTTTATCATCATTAGAAGTCGACGACACTTGTTGCTCCACAGCTACGTGTCACCAGTAGGGCTTTATTTACATTACGGATCAACTGAGCCGATGCTTGACGCCGTGCCATCGGCGGCTTTGCTTTCTCGTCTCTTTCGGTGAGCGAAGAGACTCGCATTACCCTCTAATGACTCACTTAAGCTGGAGATGCTCGCGAAATTACGCTTCTTACATACGACAACAAAAGAAGGAATCTTACATATCTTAATGGGACTTGTCTCACTGATTGGAAATTGGTGTTGTGTTCAGTCGAAAGATAAAAGTTAATTACAATGTGTTAAGATTATGAACATCGGTGGGAAGAGTTTGGCTCTCGTGCCTCACCGCAGGCTGATCAGATGTGATAGTTGAGTATGAATCAGGCTTTTAAGGAACTACAGAAGGTAAAAAAATAAAAATAAAAGGTGAAAATTCTGATTTGTGATAAAGATGTTTAGTAAAAATTAACTTGAAAGCCGAACTCTTATTTTATTTGTGATTTTTTGAACGTGTTACTAATTTCTTTCCATTCCCCGGCTGGCTGGGGCTCACCACCAAACCTCAGTGATTCAAACCCTCACTTGAAAAGACCTTTAATCTCTGCACGTTTTGTATTTGCTTACGCTCAGAGCAGCATATCAGCACGGCAGACTATAAACATCTGCATTTTATAAGACCTGTCTTAAAATTACTGCCACAAAACAGCAATGATGTAAATTTTTGGAAGCAGACACTGGTGCCAGTTCTTCTACTGCCACAGTGCGCAGTGACTTTTCGGCACTGTCAGCACCTTGGCAGGAGGGAAGCTTTGTGGCGCGCCACGATTTTAGAACTGAACGTTCTGACTGCGTGGAAATCTGATGTTTTCACGTAACGTGATCAAAGGCATTAAAACGCAGGTCTACAAAAGAGTTTAGTGTAAGAGAGCTGCTCTGCAGGTGAGCTGTTCTGATATATGCT